GGTTTCGGAGACATTTTACGAAACCATTGATAGTTTCGAAATGCTAATAATAGTTTCGTATATTTTATACGAAACCATTAAGAGCTTCGTCATTTATCTGAAGGTTTTGTATATATGTCACAAAACCATTGGCAGTTTCGCAGGGCATCTAAAGGTTTCGTATTAGTTCTACGAAGCCATTCATAGTTGCATAAACGCTCTAATAATTACGGAAAGGTTGTACGAAACTAGCCATGGTTTCGTAAAAGAGATATAGAACCATTACATCAGTTACAAAACTATGAACAGTTTCATACCATGCATGCTGAACCTTTTGATGTTTTACGAAACTTTCGATAGATTCGTCTAAGATATACGGAACCTTTAGTGGTTCCACGAAACTATTAGTGGTTTCGTAAAATACCAAAAGGTTTAGTACAAAGTGTACGAAACTATTCATAACTCCGTAAACGATGTAATGGTTCGGTATATCTTTTACGAAACCACGATTAGTTTCGTAGAACGTGTCCGGAACTATAAGAGCACTTACGAAACTATGAATAGTTCCGTACAACTACTACGAAACCTCTAGATGCTCTACGAAACTGTCAACGGTTTTGTATACAAGATACGAAACCACCGAAAGTTCAGTACACAATGCACGGAACTTTTGGAGAGTTTCGTAGTAAAACTTCGAAACCTTCTTCGATTTACGGAACTTAAAAAGGTTCAGTATGAAGACTACGAAACCTTTTTCATCCCACGGAACTTAAAATGGTTTCGTAAACCAGTACAAAACCTTCAAAGTTCGGTAGAATACCTTTTTCTTTTACAGTGTGGTTGTAGATAAGCTACGTTACAAATTTTGCTCAGTCTCTTGCTGTATGATGCCATTTAAGCTTATTGAATTTCTTGCAATCTTTATCAAATTATTCGTACAATCTACTGTAAAACAAATAGAGTTCAAAATCTGTGTATAAAACACGGTATTAAAAGTATCTTTGGTTCTTTGATGTTCTTTATATTTTACTGAGAAATACTCACTCATAACAAATGCACCAAGCACTTTAACCACAAACTATATTACTTAAAACCCATGCTTTGCGTCTCTGCTATATGCGTATGCGGGATACATCTATTGTGAAACTCAAAAGATACAATTTCAAACCTCGTAGCTAACTCTTAATCCACAAAAGTAAGATTAATTGTAAAAAATGTTAAACATCACATATTTCTTGGACACATATATTGGTTTATCGGCAAGTAAAGTGATTAAGCTAACTTGCTAAACATGATGAACTACATGGATATAAATTCTACTCAAAATATTCAATTCATGATCAGAGTATCTACGCCATACATAATAACTGTCGATGTATTCTGAATTATAACATTTTTTCATTCTTGAATAGAATCGCTACTCATTGTAACAATCTATGCTCCTTCATAATGAAATCTATTAGCTAGATCGCCTGAAGTACTGTTCGTGATATAGACAAATACTCTTGACGAGATACTTGTAACAACAAAACTAGAAAATCTTTTGTCTTTTTATTGGTCCTTTACTTACCTGAGCCACCACCTGCACCTTCATCTTGCGTGTGTATGAATCCCAATGAAACTAATATTGCTAGCAAAATTAGCAAATAACAGAAAAACCCTATGATGCGATACGATCATCATTGTATGTTAACCAACAACTCAGTTTCGGTGACACTAATGATAATGTGAATTTGCTTTTCGACTGAAATAGAAATGAATGGATTAGAAAGTTGTTTATTATCGTGAATTTGGAGAAATTGAGCATTTTTTCATATTTGTTTATCTATTGTATCAAGTCATAGGAGCTCTTTAGTTCAAATCAAACAAGTGAAAGACATTGGAAATTAACCAACTGTGATCATTATTCATTCTTTATATTCGATATCAAGAAAATACTAATGACATTCCCCAAGCAGACAAAGCTTTTCAAGAACGTGTTTAAACGCACAAAAGAGGACTTTAAATCCACAAAAAGTGGCTGAGTTTTGCTCACAATTGTGGTTTCCGACTATCAAAAAAAAACAATCACAGTTTACAAAAATAAAAAAGACCACTCCTTTTTATACTTTTATACGCCTTCAAAAGCGTTTTTTTGCTGGCAGTCGAGAACCACGGTTGTGAACGAAACACATCCATTTTTTGTGATTTTAAAAATTTTTTTCTGTTTTGAGGAATAGCATGAATCTTTAGGTTATACGTGATAATCCACCGACTTAATTCAATAATGATATCATATAAATAATTCTTTCGTTTGCCTACTATCGAAGATTTTGATTATCAAATAATTCATGTAATTATTGATACAAACAATTTCATTCAACTTGAAGAGTTTCTTACATTTTTGAGTCCTCTTCATAGGTTGAAAACATTACTTATTAGGTAGAAAACATGTTAGGAAAGCCGTTTCTTTATTTGAATTTATTGGCCAATAAGATACAGTACAAAAAAAAATACTAAAAAAGAATCTAAACATTAGATCACCATAAAATGAAGCTGAAAGCTTGAAATGTTTCTTGTTATGATGATTTCCATGGAAATTTTTCTCCTTTCGTATCATGTCTTTCAATCTGATATCTGGCATCAGAGCATACTGTATCACCAGAGTTTCCATCTAATAAAATTAATCTTGGGATTGAGAAAGCTTTAAATTTCTCTTTTATTTCTTCTTTTTTATCAGCTGCTTTAAAAGCTAATGTCAACCATGGCATCTCTTCATAATATCTGTTAAATGACTCATCATCATCATCAGAACTTATGAATATTATTTCAAATTTTTTTTCTTTTCCATATGATTTATAAAATTCGATTAACTTTGGAGTAAAATCACGGCATGGACAACACCTAAAAAGAAAAACAAATACTATAAAACTGAATAAAATATAGAACGATTGAAATTCACCAGTGAGCACTAAAATAAAGTCCAATAACCATGTCTTTATATTTTGCATCATTAAGATCGACCGATTCGTTTGATTTATTCAAAACATGACCATCGAATAATTTCGCTACACCACCCATTATAGATATTTGTTCGTTTTTATGAATGTAAAACAAACTCGTTTAGAACTAATGTTTTCACTTTTGCTGACTTGGCAATTTTTTCTATTTTTTTCTTCCTCTGTCCCTTTCATAAATTACCATGATATTGCAAGACAAATTGCGACAAAATATTTATTTTTCAAGTTAACAAGTTTGATATCTGTCAGTCAGATTCATATCTCTCTTCTTTTCATGCATTTAATACACAACTTTCTGGCGTGCATAAGGCTTCCCTGTCTTCATGACTTAGATTCAAGAGCACAATAGACTATCTCTGTTGAGACAGACAGTTGAACATTGAAGCTTTGGTCATGCTACCTTTTACTTGCTTAATATCTTTAATTGATCGACAAAGATACTTAGTATCATCCTCATGATAAAACATGACTCTTGTAGCTGGCAGTTCATATTCATATAACTATAAACGTATCTATAGAAGCATGTTTACATCTAATCACTTGCCATCTATCAACGAAGATTTTGACTATTTACTATGTGGAAGATTTTATTTTTACACAACCTATTGTTTATATGTGCTTTACATTCATTAAACACTAAAATATCACAGCCAGTCAAGATGAAAGTGATTGATAACAAAAGCAATTTTTTTTATTAGTATACTACTTTTTTGCCGTGAATGGGTTTTTAAATCGACGTTTATTGAAACAAAAATAAATCCACGAAAATAATTATCATCCTGACTAAAATATGTCTATGAATTTGATCTTCGATAAATCTCGCATCATAGATTCTCTATTTTAAGTAGTATTTGTATTCTTAATGCATAAAATCGGGACTGTTTGTCTTCTCATTATTGGTGTAATAAAAATGGACCATTTTCTGTAGAAATTAATTCGGATACGAAGAAGAAAAATGAAATTGATCGGATGAGAAAAACTAGGGTGTGGGTGTGGATGAATGTGGACGCAGATCTTCTGATTTGATTCACATTCAACCCACACCCAATAGTTGTTTTTTTTGGTCAAAAAGATGTATGAGAACAGGAAAAGGAAAGATTTGATAGTATTTGACCATTATAAAATAGAAAAAACAATGAGAAGTCAGAAATTATTTTTCTGCATTGAACAGTTTTCGGTTGGATTGAAATCTTTAATAGAAAATCGTCAATAAGAGATGACAATCCCAGTTATCATGAGAATCGTTTTCTTACAGAAGAAATTTTCATTGTAATTGGCTTATATATATAGTACAGAAGAGAAATTCTGGTGATTGGAAAGAAAATGTAATAGAGATTAAGCGTTATAATTCATGATTTGCTATTTTTCTTTAGTTATGCATGTAAGTAAATATTTGAATTTCTGTCGTGTGTTTGAATCCTTGAAATATATTCATAAGTAGAGAAGATCTTGTGAAAGTTGAATAGAATGATTTGATGCAGTGGGATTTCTAAGAAGTAGAAAACTTCTTTACTGATATTTTAAATTTGTTGTCCTTTTTGTTTGTGAGATCTATTAGAATTGCATTCATTCTCTCTAGCTAATTCCGTGAAAAGATGGTTTATTTGTTTTTGCAGCCCTTATGGTTGATTGCTCCCATATAGAGTGCATCTTTATCATTCAGTGAATAAGACTACATAAGCAGAAAAAAGCAACATGAAAACTGTTCTAGTAAAAAGTTAAAAATCAACTCAGGTCAGAGTGTAAGACTCCTAGGATGCACAAAAAACGTTACAAGAACAGAAATGATGATTTTGTTTTAACATCATCCAAGATGAACATAAAGGGTGTGGCTGTGGGTGCGGGTGTGGGGTGTGGGTGTGGGTGTGGGTGTGGGTGTGGGTGTGGGCGTGGGTGTGGGTGTGGGTGTGGG